ATTTTACAGTTAAAATAAATGTTTATTAAATAAAGTCTAATGTTACAACTAATCATGGATCCCTTTAAAAAGTCTGTTTCCTTATTTCCTAAGAAATATCTAGAAAAAAAGTCAATCTACTTTAATAACAAGATTACAAAACAAATTCACTTCAGATAAACAAAACACCAAACTTTAACTGCACGTTTAAGTATTCTGAGTTGGACCGGTCGGTACCTTCTCGTTCATCTTCTGGCTGACGCTCAGCAGCATCAACATGTTGTCGCACTCCGTGATGCCCATGGCGTACAGATCGCTGAGGACGTTGCAACACGCTATCCTCCCCTGAGGAACAGGAAGCACAAAAACAGAACAATTCAAACCATTTCGACTGATTCTCCACCCAGACCACGGTTAATCCTCTGTAATTAGGATTTATCGTAATAAAAGGAGCGTACAGGTCCGGTTTTCTCCATCAGTTATTTGTTTACCCATCTGAAACCAGTCCAGGTTCGAGCTGCATCGTGTATCGTTGGAGCATCGTCATCGTAATGTTTGTGAGTGAAACAGATGTAGGAGGCAAATTAAATCAAAGTGTCATCTAAGGTCTAAATCAAAAGCTTTGCACCAAACGACTGCATCTTAAGGCTTTTATTTTGATGGGTTGCTTTGTGTCAAAATAGCTAAAACTTTCATTTTGTTGTGAACCTTGAAAATTCCTGTTTTTTATATTGAAATTTATACCAAAGRGTTAGAAAAATCCAATATTGTCCAATCTTTTTTTTTTCTTCAAAAAATTAAACAAATGGACGATTATTACATGATAATTATGTAATTTATTAATAACATACTACAATTGGATGCACTTCGTTACGTTAGAAGCTGAGGTATTTTTCTGTTACAACAACTGGACCGGGTCAGACTAAGAAACACGACCGCAAACATGTGACTTGGGTCTAAGCTCCTGCAGTCACATGACTGAACAGAAACATGCATGAGCTCATCTGATGCCGCATTTTCATGTAAAATGTCGTTTTCTCCGTTACTCCTCAAGATCTTTGCTAAACAAGACAAGAACCTGCTTGTTTTTATGATTATTGCTTCCTCGATTGCAACGCCAAACACACAGCAAACATCACAGCGACACAAGTATGTAGGACTAAATAATACTGTGCAAAAGTTTTGAGGCAGTCCTCTTTAAATTCTTCGAGGAGTCCTTTAACTCTAACCTATGAATCCTAAATGCAAAAAATAAAATATTGTACCTTTTTAGAAATGCAACTTGTCACAATTTACACTTGTTTCTATTTAGTTCAATCTCTAAAAATCTGCACAAAAATAACAGTTTAATAAACATAAAACAGTATTTCTGCATGAAAAAAGGTGACTCCAAACGAGTGTTGCTCAACCTCTGGCTAAAATAAACAAAAATAAACCAGCTGATTATCAATTTAAGAGTTTTACTAATTTCAGTCTTCTCATGTGAACTGCTCCTCTTGAACTTGGGTCAGCAGTTGGACTTTAACATTGCAGTGGAGTGTGGTTTAATGAGGACAACATGTGTGCTGGTTCATCAAAACCTTCTGGACCCCAGAGGGGACACAGATTGTTTTTATGTCCATGTGACGCAACACAAACAGACTTAATGCTTGCTTAAAAAAAAAAATAAACACTGACCATGTGAACGCTTCATGGAGGGGGATGCAGACTCACCATCATGTACGGATCTTCAACCAGAGGGTAAAAGAAATCAGTGGTTTGAACCAGAGACAGCCCTCCATGTCTTAAGGGGATYACACAGCTGTCCAAACCGATACCTAAAATAAAAAAATGTTTTCTGCTTTTATAAGTGAAATTAATGCAGGACATGTTAGATTACTTTAATGCAAGCATTTTGTGTAAATAATAAAGTAAATATAAAATACAGCAGGTGATAGTACTCACATAAAATAAGAAATATTCTGCTGAATCATTATATTATTGTGTAATTTAACAGCTAAAAATTTCTCTTTTGTTTTATTGTTTGTATTATCATACATTTATGATGTCTCAAACTGATAACTTGGGTCATCAGCGAGCTAAAGCTGTTTTACCTGTTTTTTAACTGTCATTCTGCCAAATGAGCAACAAGCTAACAGGTTAGCAACAGTAAAGCTAACTGGGTTAGCTTGGAGAGCAAAGGTTCGAGATAAAAAAAATAAATCATTAACTTTGTTCCTCACCGAGCCGCGGGCCGGACAACTGTTCAACGAACTCCGAAGCTTGGTCCTCGGCTTTCCCCGTCCCGTCGGTGGCTCGGTCCGGCTCCAGTCCCGACAGGAGTTTGAGCAGAGCCTCCTGCGGGACCTTGCATCCTCATCCCTTCATGTCCGAGAAGGATGTGAGACGGAACCCGCGATCCAGGCCGTGCTCCACGGGGTCGAACGGCTTGTATCCCGGGGGGAAACACCCGGCGGGTCCCACGACCTCCTCGGAGGGAGGTGTGGGGCTGGAGCTTGACATGCTTACACCCCCTCGAGCACCGGTTCTGAAACAAAACGCTGCTGGAGGAGGACACGCACAGGTCTGAGCGCGGTTAGTGAAGAGGCGCTGAGCGGTGTTCGTGCGAGGAGCGCTGCGTGATTAGAAGAAAACCTTTACCAAAATAAAACAAAATCAACGTCCAAAAAAAAGTTTATACGTCCGCACGTAAAACTGTCAAACATTACAGTTTATTTTTTACACTAATCTTTGTATAGAAAGTTAAATTAACAAAATACAGGATGTTAAAATTCTAAAATAATGGGAGATGTGTATTATTTTGAAATTTCTGCCAAGCTTCCGGATGTAGTTTGAAATGGAAATTGACGAAGCGCGAGCTCCTCTGGACAATTGGACTGTACCATTTTCTCATGTTGTCATTAACCCTTCATATGTTTTTTCTTTTGTTCCCTAAACTATTTAGCTTCATATAATGACTTTTTATAAAAACATATTTAAATTTAATTGATAATTCTTCCACAAAAAATAATACAAATGAACAAACAAAACGAATCCTCCCTGTCGCTCTAATTGGTTTGTTCTTAGGAACGGAGATACGTCACCACCGCAGGTGCTGCTACCTGCTGCTTTTTTATTGCAGCAAAGCAGAAACTGAAATAAAAGGTTGTTGCTTTGCTGATTTTATTAACTTTGTATTTGAAGTGGCAGCCCATTTCGTATACAGCCTAGCGAAGTAGCATTTTTACAAAAATACAAAATAAATGCTGCGTAAGTAAGCGCTGAAAAACTGGTGAAGAAGCTGAAACTGTTGGTAAAGCTAAAAGAGAAAAACATTAAAAGATAAAAGTTGGTAAAAGAAATAAAGAATCAAGAGTTGTGTTAAAAGACAAATACAGCAAAAGGTTAGGTTAAGTTAAATTTAGCAAAAAGGGCCAAAACACTTGCTAAATCATTAGCTAAAAGTAACAAAAAGCTAAATGATAGATACAAAAGGTTAGCTGTACATTAAATGTAGCAGTAAACTGGATAAAAAGCTAAATGTAGTAAAAGACAAACTAAAAAACTAGATTTAAAAATAGGTAAAAGCCAAATGTAGCAAAAGATAAGGCAGCAGCTAAAGCAAGCAACTAGCTGAAAGAAGCAAAAGGCTGGCTAAAATACCAAAATTGTTGCTAAAAGTAGCAATAKACTAAAAGGCATGTAACAAAAGTTTAGGTAAAAGTTAAATATAGTAAAGTCTAGCTGAAATCTAAGAAAACTTGCTTAAGGATGGATAAAATTAGCATAACTAACAAATTCTTATTTTGATCTCTTCTAACACTTTGGTAAAGTTTCAGTTGTATTTTCCTTGATGACATAACTTAATAAAAAACAGCGTCTATTTCCTCTGCAGCATGCTGACACATCAGTTTTATTTTCATTAAGTTAGCCTTAGGTAAGACAAGTACAATTTAATAACTAATTTATTTTTGCAAATCTCCAACAGTTTGACCATTTGCAACAAAATGATTTTAATTACAAACAATATTATCACAATTGGTGAAGGAACCTCAATGTGTTTACATTCATATAGATAAATAGCAGGCGTTACGGGTAAAGATTAGACAGAATAAAGAGCACAACAAGCTCCGTGCTGGGGTTAAGCGTCAGAGTTCAAGCAGCAGCACATTTAAAAACACAGGCACAGAAAACAGAGAGTGGCTACTTTTTTTTCAACAAGAGTAACTCCGTCTCTAACACATAATACATGTTTTGAGGTAATGCAAAATGCTACGTTTGCAACCAAAACATATTTAAATGTTCTTTATTTAAAGCTCACTAAATAATTCTTATGCATTTTAAAAAAATCCTCTGATTTATCACATTATTTAATAGGTCCAATAAATACTGATATGTTGGAGGAAAGACGCATGTGGTTTGCACTAAAAAAAAAAGGTGGAATCATGTTCAAAAAGTGAGTTTTCAGAAGCGATGCACAGTGGGTGGGGTTAGGAAATAAGAGGCCAGGTGTTTTGGATGAAAATTAAGATGAATTCAAAAAGGATGAGCGACGAATTTATGAAGCAGCGTAGGGAAAAATGTGACGTTATCTTCTCTTTCACTTTATGATCCGATTGCCTCGACATGCCGTTTGATTTTAATGTGTTTATTTTTACCTTTAAGATCCACGTTGGGGTTGTGTATTTGCACGGCAGAGTGTGAGTAAGGTGCAACAACAAAACTTTTTTTTTTGTTTTGTTTTCCAAATGCAAATACACTGAATGCAAATATCTACTACAAATTTGTGTTTCCATGCGCCCCCTGCTGGTGTTACTGTATACAGTCCATGACATGTATCTGCAGCGTGTCCATGTCTGGAGCCAGGTAGTGACACTTCGGGCAACATAAATCGGGAAGCTCTTCGGCTCCTGGTGCTCCTCGATCGTTGACTGGTACCTGGTTCCGGAAAGACTGGGCTGGGGGGACTGTGTTGAAGGCTCCTGCAGGAAACATTCCTATTGCAAAACAAAAAGACAACTTATTACCAAATAAAACATTCAAACAATCATTTCATGACAGTTACGTGTGTTGGTGTCCGGTACCTTGCGGAGGGGGAATGAGGACGGGTCGCTGGGGGAAGTCTTTCACGTGTCTCTTCTTCATCTGCTCCATACGTTCACTGAAACAGACCAGAAYGTTTGACGTTAATCCAGTAACACAAACTACTAACTGTGGACTTCCTTATAGCAGGGGCTTCAAAGGCTTCAGGAGTAGGAGGCTGGTTAGAAAAACAAGGGGGCTGAACATTTATGGCAGTGGTTCTCAACCGCTTTTGGGTCAGCACCCCGCCATCCAGATCTAAGTCTCTTAATGCCCCCCATCAAATAAAATGCAAGCCACTTGCACAGAAAATAGTTTTATTATTATTATGAATATTATTGTTTAAGTTATAATTTTTTATTGTCGTTACTGTATTTAAACTTCAAAGAGTGCTTGAAGTAAAGATGAAACCCAGTTAAAAAGTAAACGCCCCCCAAAAGAATCACGACGCCCCCCTTGTTACTTCCAGTGCTCCCTGCAATACTATAACC